TTTCTTTTTGTGTCTGCCTTTCAGCCATTTTTTTGCTCGTTCCTCTTAAAACCCCAGGTGTTTTTCTTCATCCATCCATCCATCCATCCATCCAGGCGTCTTTCAAACTCCATCCTCCTCTTTTCCGTTTGCCGTCCATCATCCTTCCCTCTACGCATCATTTCTTTTCTCCTCCTCTCACATCATTCTGAGTGATTTGAGGTTTACTATTGACAACTCGATCTATCCTCCACACTCCCATTTTCTCTCTGCCCATTTCTCAATCTCTCCATCACTGACAATATACACTCTCCATCTTTATCGGCATCTATTGACTAAGTCCTCCTTTTTATTTTTTCTCCATCCCTCCCATTTTATCACACTGATGGCTTTCCCATCATACAAGGCTACTCACAAGAGCAGTCACACCTCCATCCCCTCATCCTCCATCCATCTTTCTTCCTTCTCTCTGTCTTTGTGTGTGTGTGTGTGTGTGTGTGTGTGTGTGCAGTCCCCAAGCACTGTGGTGACTGCAGCCAATCCCATTAGCCAGATGAGCAGGCCTCCAATGAAGGGGAAAACATAATGACAACACAAGAGTCTCTCTCACACACTCCTCCCTTGCTGCTACCGCTCCTGCTCTCTCTCACCGTCTGCTCCCTTCATTCATCCGTCACTCCAGGGTGTGTGTATGGCAAGCTGGTGTGTTTTTGGACAGTGCAAATGGAAGGCTTGTAGTAGAGGGTGCCATTTGATGTGTGTGCTTTTACTCATGTTTAAGTGTGCACTGTGTTCATAAGAAGGGAAACAGCTGCAGTTCATTTCTTGCTTTTTAAAAACATAGACTCAAGCTAGTTTGAAAGCATTTTCAGATGAAGCTGTTGGTGAAACACTGGATTTCATGGCACTATAACTTTCAGCAGCTGAGGTTTGATTCTCCTGCAAAAATAATTTTTTGTCTCCATGGCACTTGTTTTTGTTATTTGGAAGCTTACCTGTATGTGTTTTTTTGTGTGTGTTTTATGTGAATATTTCACTTTTAGTTTATTATTTAACATCTAAAATTGTAAAACTCTACAATTTTCTCCTTACCTGCTGTCTGAATATCCAGAAGTAAAGTTTGGAATAGAGCAAGTCCTTCTCCTCTATTACCTACAGGGTCATTACCTGTGGTGATGTGTTGATGCAGTGCATTGGAACGGTGTCTTTTCATCTCCCTAACTAGGCCCATTAAAATCCATTCAGCTAATGAGCCTTCGCTCAGGCCTCCGGTGATTAAGACCTACTGCTTGATCTGTACCAACAGGCCCTTTGCTTTCATTTAGCACTGCTCTGACTCCATCACAGCACAAAGACACATACATGTGTGACCATGAAGGGGACATTGGGGTGATATGACACCGTAGGGAAGTTTTTAGGAAGCTAAAGACAAAATGAGGTTACATGTTTTTGAAGAGTCCACTTTTAGTTAGCGTGATGCAAAGCTGAGAAGTGTTTGTTGCCATTCCAAATGATGTTTAAGGAGATGTGGCTCCCATGATCCCAAACAGTAATAAAACAGCTTAAAAATACTGGTTAATTAACTGTGTTCAGCAAATTACTTGAAAATTACCTATTACATATTAGTCAATGAGAGCATGATTCCATAGCTTTACTAATTACCCATCAGCAGAAGTAATTATAGTCCAGAATGTTACTACAGTAAGACATTTGAGGTCTTCAGGCTCTGTGCCTCAGCATATTCAATTTGAAATACAATAGTAGACACTACAATAAAGTGCCAAGTCACAGCTGTATTTTGAGCAGGTTTACATGAATATGGGAAGAACAGTGTGGGAGATGCAGCCCTTTTAATATCCAGTGCCCAAAGTTTACAGCTTGAAATGTCATCATCTTCTTCTTTTTCTTCTTGGCTGAATCTGAATACACAGTGCTCCTGTATACCTCTGAATTCATCCTGTTGCTTCTGTCTGCAGCAAAATCACCAATAAATGCCATTATACCAGTAGCAGCCATACATGCCCAAGTCATAACAGAACAACAACCATGTTCAACAGATGAGGTGCTATGCTTTGGGTCATGAGCTATTCCCTTTTTTAATCAAATAATCTGCAACAAACATGTTGATGACAAAATTATACAAACCATCTTATCTTGCAAAGCAGCCACACCTGTAACATGCTGATTAGTTGATGCTTCTGATGATCAAGGACACTACCTGAGTCTCTTGTACATTCATTTAGCCTCCCTTCCCCCAACTCCTGCTATGCTTTCCTTTTTCTCATCAATTAAATTCACTTCACAAGTGCTTTGCTGGCAGGACCTCGGGGTGCTGTTGCCAAGGCGCATTTGATTTAATATCTGTCATGCAAAGGGGAAAAATTTAACAACAACAACAACAACATGCCTTGAGGTTTGCATTGATCCCCACAGTAGGGGGAGCAGGGGGGCATTTGTACCCGCAGGGCAGATTAGATGTGTGCACACAGTGGGTGCACGAGAACACACCAGCACTCCATTGTCTGGGGTAGAAGACACAGCTGGAATGCATAAAAGAAAGATCCATTTTCTCTCCTCCCGCTTGACATTTTCCTTACCCCTCTGCTGTGAGTCACTCTGGATTGGAAGGAGCTGCTTTTTAACTGTTGGGCCCTACTGACTCCTCACTGTTCACGCTCAATCACTGTCTCCCCCTTGTTTTCTCACTAACTTTTCCTACTCTTAAGGGGCTTGGAGGGCAGATAGAAAAACAGAAACTTTGGGCCAACTATGCAAAGAGAACAAGCTATGGTCTTACATTAAAGAGCCACTATGTAAATGTTAAGTGTCACGATTCGGTTCCGTTGCTTCCTGTCAGGCTTTTATTTTCACATTACTTCCTGTTTTGTTTCACCTCAGTTTTGGCCCTTTTATTTAATCATCATTAGTTCACCTGCTCCTTATTGTTTGCACCTGTTTTTTACTTCTATTTAGGCAGCGTCCTCCCACCAGGACGCTGCCAGATTGTTCTTGACCCCAGCTCTGACTCTCCAGCATTTATACCTTGCCTGATTCTCTGTTTCTGACCTTGGATTACTGTTTTTGACCACCGTGTTTTGCCTATGCCCTTCCAGTTTCTGATTGCCTGCAGTGTACCGACCTTCTGAGTTATTCCCCTTGACCTCTCGAGTTTGGATCTCCTGGCTATATCTGTCTACCGGCGCTGACCCTGGACTGTCTTATTGACCTGATTGTGTATCCCGGACTGTGTATTGATTGTCTAGTTGCTACTAGTATAAACCTTCAGCTAAATCAGTTCGTCTGGTTTTATAATTGAGTCCACCACAAACACCATTTGGCGTTCTTACACGTCAAATCTGACAGTTAAGTGTAAGCAAAACAAAGTCATTCTTCACATCACAAGTAAAAAGATTCATTCACAAAAAATAAAGAACAGCTTTGCGCAGATTTTGCTGCAACAGTCTTACTTGGTCTGGATAAGCATATGGTAGCTAATAGGGATGGGTGGCCTTTGAATAATTGTCAAATAGTTCCCAGCGAATATCAAATAGCATTTTAACTTGAAAAGCCCATGGAGCTAAATAGGGCAGGGTAGAAATATAGATTTCCAATTAACTGCGATTCTTGTTTGAACAATTCAGTATTAATTTGTGAAATCCTGAAAGTAGTGTAGATGAGAGCTGGCTATATTAGCCATGTTGAGTCATGACAGTTCATAAACACAACATGAAAAACTACCTTTACATTGATAAGATAAGGTTTTACCAGCATTTGTGTTATGGCAAAAATTGTCTTATCAGGATTCGGTGAATGCAAAATGAAACTTGATACCAATTCTGAAGATTGATGCACATTTATTCCTGCAGGAAGGAGCAAACTCTCACAGAGTGTCAAACACAACATCTGAAGGAGAAGCTCTCTGAGCATGAAGCTGCATTTCCTTTTATACATAGACATGAGTGTTGCTTGTGGTTTCGGTCTGTTAAGGTCATATGTAGGTTTAAGGAAACGTCTGTCACACAGGAAAGAAGCTGTCTGGTTTAACTTCCATACAAGGATGTGCTTTTCACTGAAGACACAGAAGTTTGTCTGGTTTCACAAACACACAAATAACTATATATAAAAACTGCATAGCAACAATCAGTATGTTAATAAGGCAATCTATTAATAAGGACAGTTTTCCATCACAATTTGTTTTTGTTTGGTTTGTTTGTTCACAGCATAACTCAAAACTCATGGAAAACTCGCTACTTTGAGACATCAAATAATGCTACAGACCTGCAACTAAGATCAAATTCTGGCTGAAGTTCTGCTGATTCAGAAGGATGTCATCAGCCTGGATGTGTCTTCAAAAGTTACTGAGCTAGATCCAGAAGAAAACCACCATTACTTAAATAAAGGTTTTCTTAACTAACCTTCAAACTAATAATGAGATCAGTGCGATTCCTTGTGATTCAATGTGTACCCTGTCATGGTGAAGGAATCACTAATATTATGATGGTCAGACTATCAAGAGAATATTGCTTTTAGGTGTATGAGGACAGTGAGCTGTCTTGGTGGAGGTTGGTGTTCTCTGAGTGCTGCCTAGTTTCATTGAGATTTTACCACATTTTTTCCTGTAATGTATACAGTGGCAGCCTTTCAGCAGAAGTTGGAGTCTTACTTTAAGGGTTCTGTGTTGCACAAGAATGCGTTCTTTGGATTCACATCATAGCAGAAGAAGTTTCTGTTGCTTTAATGATAGACTGGAAAATTGTTTTTTATAACTAACTGAATATTTAAAAAGGGTGCACTTATTTTTGAGTCGACCCATAGAGAAAATGATGGGATCATAGACGCCAAAATGAGCAATTTATCCCAAGTACATCATTGGCTAATTTTAATGTGTCACTGTGTCTAGTTTAAGGTCCAGACACATCTGTTTCTCATGTGGGTTTGGCAAAGCTGTTACATTGTTTGCAGAGACAAATTATAAACCCAGCCCAACCAAAGCTATCATTTCTGTGTGCTCTCCCTCCTAGGGTTCTTCATAACTACATGCTGTGGCGCATTGTGGCAGCACTAAGTGAACACTTGTCCACTGCCTTCCGCAGCACCATCCACGAGTTTTCTCGGGAGATAGACGGTACCGAACAGCAGCTGGAGCTGGGCAGGCTCTGCCTCACTCAGGCCAACAAACACTTTGGCATGGCCCTGGGAGCTTTGTTTGTCCAGCAGCACTTCTCGTCACAGAGCAAAGCAAAGGTATGGGTGGACTAATGAAGCAGACGGTGGTTAAAAACAGCAAATGTCAGCAAAAGGTGACAAATTTACATCCTCACAGTACTGTTTTGTTTCCAGGTGCTCTCTTTCACTACTAATTCCCCATCTCAGCCCTTTTCTACTTTAATCCTTCCACATATTCTTATTATATCTCAATCTCATATCTATTCTAATACATGGGATTATGG